ATAGGGTATGAGACTGAATGCAAATGGACTAAACGCTCCAATCAAAAGGCATAGTGTATGAGACTATAAAAAAACAAGACCCATTGATATGCTGTCTATAAGAGACTCATTTTAGCCCCAAAGTCACATCTAGATTAAGACTGAGGGGATAGAGAAATATTTATCATGTCAATGGAGGTCAAAGGAAAGCTGGGGTAGTAATCCTCATATCAGACAAGTTAGATTTTGAACCAAAGACTGTAGTAAGAGTGGAAGTGAGACACTATATCACACTTAAAGAGTCTACCAAACAAGAAGATCTAATAATTATAAATATTTATGCCCCTAATTTGGGGGCAGCCAATTACATCAACCAATTAATAATCAAAAGTAAAGAAACACATAGATAATAACACAATAGTGCTAGGGGACTTTAACACCCCACTCACAGCAATGGACAGATCAAAGTCCTTGGACTTTGAATGGAACATTGGAAGAGATGGACTTCACAGATACACAAAGAACATTCCATCCTAAAGCAACAGAATACACATTCTTCTCGATTGCACATGGAACATTCTCTGGAATAGATCACATACTGGGTCACAAATCAGGTCTCAAGGATACCAGAAGATTCGGATTATACCCTGCACATTTTCAGACAACAATGCTTTGAAACAAACTCAATCACAAGAAGATTTTGGAAGGAACTCAAACACTTGGAGGCTGAAGAACATCCTATTAAAGAATGAATGGGTTGACCAGGAAATTAAAAAAGAATTTAAAAAATTTTGGAAACTAATGAAAATGAAAACACAACTGCTCAAAACCTTTGGGATGCAGCAAAGGCGGTCGTAAGAGAGAACTATATAGCAATACAAGCCTTTCCCAAGAAACAAGAAAGTCCCAAATACACAAGCTAACCTTACAACTAAAAGACCTGGAAGAACAGCAAATAAAGCCTAACCAAGCAGGAGAAGAAAAATAATAAAGATTACAGCTGAAATCAATGAAATAGAAACTAGAAGAACAGTAGAAAAGATCAATGAAACTAGAAGCTGGTTCATTGAAAGAATTAATAAGATATATACCTCTGGCCAGATTTATGCAAAAGAAAAGAGAAAGGATCCAAATAAATAATATCTTGGATGAAAGAGGAGAGATCACAACCAATACCAAAGAAATACAAACAATTAGAAGAACATATTTTGAGAAACTATATACCAACAAATGGGCAATCTGGAAGAAATGGATGCATTCATAGAAATGTATAAACTACCAAAACTGAACCAGGAAGAAATAGAAAACCTGAATAGAGGCATAACCAGCAAAGAAATTGAAGCAGTGATCAAAAATCTCCCAACAAACAAGAGCCCAGGACCAGATGGCTTCCCAGGGGAATTCTACCAAACATTTAAAGAAGAAATTATACCTATTCTAGATATGAAACTGAAGCTGTTACAAAAAATATAAACAGAAGGAAAACTTCCAACTCATTCTCTGAGGCCAGGATTACCTTGATCCCAAAACCAGACAAAGACCCCATCAAAAAGGAGAATTACAGATCAATATCCCTGATGAACATGGATGTCAAAAAACTCAACAAGATCCTAGCCAATAGAATCCAACAGTACATGAAAAGGATTATTCACCATGACCAGGTGAGATTTATTCCTGGGATGCAAAGCTGGTTCAACATTCAAAAATCAATTAACATGATAGATCATATTAATAGAAGAAGAGAAAAGAAACATATCATCCTCTCAATTGATGCAGAAAAAGCATTTGACAAAATATAGCATCCTTTCCTGATGAAAACTCTTCAAAGTATAGGAATAGAGGGAACATACATCAGTATCATAAAAGCTTCTATGAAAAGCATCTATGAATATCATTCTCAATGGGGAAAAGCTAAGAGCCTTTCTCTTAAGATCAGGAACACAACAAGAATGCCCACTCTCGCCACTATTGTTCAACATATTACTGGAAGTCCTAGCAACAGCAATCAGACAACAACAAGAAAAGACATTCAAATTGGCAAAGAAGAAGTGCAACTCTCTCTCTTTGCAGATGACATGATACTTTATGTGGAAAACCCAAAAGACTCCACCCCTAAATTACTGGAACTCATACAGATATTCACCAATGTGGCAGGATAGAAAATGAACACACAGAAACCAGTTGCATTTCTGTACCCTGACAATGTGACTGAAGAAAGAGAAATTGAGGAAATGATTCCATTTACAATAGCACCAAAAACCATAAGATACCTAGGAATAAACCTAACCAAAGAGGTAAAGGATCTATACACTCTACAACAGAACACTTATGAAAGAAACTGAGGGAGACACAAAGAGATGGAAAAACATTCCATGTTCATAGATTGGAAGAATGGGTATTAAGGAGGGCATGTGTTGTGACGAGCACTGGGTGTTATACACAACTAATGAATTGTTGAACACTACCTGAAAAATGATGTACTATATGTTGGCAAACTGAACATAATAAAAAAAAGAATAAACATTGTTAAAATGCTTATGCTACCCAGAGAAATCTCTACTTTCAATGCAATCCCTATCAAAATACCATTGATATTTTTCACAGAACTGGAAGAAATTACCTTAAAATTTGTATGGAACCAGAAAAGACCCTGAATCACCAGGGGAATGTTGAAAAAGAAAACCAAAGATAGGAGCATCACAATGCCTGACTTCAAGCTATATGTGTGATCACCAAGACAGTATGGTACTGGCACACAGACACATAGATCAAAGGAACAGAATAGAGACCCCAGAAAAGGAAGCTCAACTGTATGGTCAACTAAACTTTGACAAATCAGGAAAGACTATCCAATGGAAAAAAGACAGTCTCTTCAAAAAATGATGCTGGGAAACTTGGACAGCTATGTACAGAAGAATGAAACTCAACCATTCTCTTACACCATACACAAAGATAAACTCAAAATGGATGAAAGACCTCAATGTGACACAGGAATCCATCAAAATCCTAAAGGAGAACAGGCATTAACCTCTTCAATGTTGGCCACAGCAACTTCTTTCAAGACACATCTCTAAAGGCAAGGGAAACAAAAGCAAAAAGGAACTTTTGGGACTTCACCAAGATAAAACCTTCTGCACAGCAAAGGAAATAGTCAACAAAACTAAGAGGCAACCCATGGAATCAGAGAAGATATTTGCAAATGACAGTACAGATAAAGGGCTGGTAACCAAGATCTATGCAGAACTTCCCAACTCAACACCCCAAAACCAAAAAGTCCAGTCAAGCAATGTGGAGAAGACATGAACAGAGAGTTCTCCAAAGAAGACATAGAAACAGCTAACAGACACATGAAAAAATGTTCAACATCATTAGCCATCAGGGAAATCCAAATCAAAACCACAATGAGATACCATCTTACACCAGTCAGAATGGCAAAAATTACCAAGGCAGGAAATAACAAATGTTGGCGAGGTTGTAGAGAAAGGGGAACCCTCTTACAGTGTTGGTGGGAATGCAAGTTGGTACAGTCACTTTGGAATGCTATGGAGGTTCCTCAAAAAGTTAAAAATAGAGCTACCCTATGATCCAGCAATTGCACTACTGGGTATTTACCCGAAAGACACAAATGTAGTGAAAAGAAGGGCCATATGCACCCCAATGTTCCTAGCAGCAATGTCCACAATAGCCAAACTGTGGAAGGAGCTGAGATGCCCTTCAACAGATGAATGGATAAAGATGTTGTACATATATACAATGGAACATTACTCAACCACCAGAAAGGATAAATACCTACCGTTTGCATTGACATGGATGAAACTGGAGGGATTATGCTAAGTGAAATACATCAGCTAGAGAAAGATAAGTGTTATATGGTTTCACTCATATGTGGAATATAAGGAATAACAGAGTGGACATTAGAGGTAGGGAGGGAAATCTGAATGGGAAGAAATCAGAGAGGGAGACAAAGCATAAGAGACTTGGATTCTGGGAAACAAACTGAGAATTACAGAAGTGAGGGGGGTGGGGGATGGAGTAACTGGGTGATGGGTATTAAGGGGGGCACTTGAGGTGATGAGCACTGAGTGTTATACACAATTAATGAATCATTGAACACTACAGCAAAAACTAATGATGGGGGCGCCTGGGTGCCTTAGTTGGTTAAGCAGCTGCCTTTGGATATGGTCATGATCCTGGTGTCTTGGGATCAAGTCCCCACATGGAGCTCCCTGCTCAGCAGAGAGTCTGCATTTCCCTCTGCCTCTGACCCTCCTCCTTGCTTGTGCTCTCTCTCTGTGTGTCTCAAATAAATAAATAAATAATTTTAAAAAACCACTAATGATGTACTATATGTTGGCCAACTGAACATAATAAAACAAAACAAAAAAAAAAAAGAGGTGGTATTTTATGCAAACCTTTTACCTGTGTTTTTATTTCAGTATATTTGGACTCTTAAAACCTTTCCTTAAAGACTGGGATCCCCATGAAAACATGATTCTTTGTCCCAAACTTCTGACACTTTGGTATGATGAAGGCAGGGGAACCCTTGTACTTCATATCTCCTTAGCCCATCAAACAGCTGCCCCCTCCTCAGGGTTTCTGACACACCCAGGATATGGGTTCTCCCACTGTGTTTCTCCCACAGTGATACATGTAAGTGTCCTCAACCTCAGACTGCTCAGATCCATGTAGGCTGTTCTACTGGCTGTGTCTGCCATCACGGTGATTCTGCCCTGGAGTTTCAGTGCATAACTTGTGGCACCATCTTCAGGGTCAATTCACCCCTTTCCACTCAAGTCCTTGTTTTGGGGCCTCTCACACTCAGTGCCTATAGTAGTCAGTGAATGTGTATCCAGACGCCTTACAGGAGACCTTCCTGGATGTGCCTGGCTTCCTCACTTCAGCCCCAGACTGCACCATCAGGACCTGGGAGTGCACACCTGTGGAGAGGGAACAGGTGGGGATGATGTCATCCTTGAGTGGCCTTTGTCCCCTCCTCAGCCCAGTGACTGGGAGTCCCTTACCTGTAGCCAGTGCCACCAAGAAGTGGATTCTCCAGCTCCAGTCCATGGCGAGAGGCTGTGTTCTCAGTGGCTTCTGTAGGGGAAGGGGTGCAGTTGTTAGGTGATGCTCTTGGGACACAGACATCTTCATACCTAACCTAGTGTACCTCAAATCATTTGCATATTCATGAAACAGAGTATTTTATACTCAAACCAGACCCATCAAGAGAAGGAGCAGATAGACATCACAGGGACCATGCTCAGTAGGACGTTGAAGGACCAAGTCTTAATCCCTTTTGAGGACATGGGTACCCTGCCAGCTCCCTGAGCTAGCAGCAGACAGAACTTCTCCCACTGAGGGAAAAGAACCCACAGGAAATGCTCCTTATTTTGAATCCAACTTTGAATGACAGTAAAAGCACCTGAACATTTTCTTGGCACTGATATCTGGATATTTTACTCCTGGATCAGTGTGACTCCAAAATGCTGCACCCATGAGCTAATAACTGCATTCCTGCCTCCATCTCTTTAAAATTAAGATATCCCAAAGCCCTGGAATATCATCCTCTTCAAATGTGCTTCTCATTGCCTTGAGTTTGGTAACTGTTCCTGACAGAACAGGATATTTACACACCCTTTAGCATTTCTTGTCCTACTCATATTTTAGATTGTTTTCTGGAAAAGGAGACCCCAACTTCTGAGAGGAAAGACTTCCCCAGGACCCTGTGCACCTGCTCCTGGGGCAGCAGCCCTGTGCTGGTGGGGTCCTGAGCATCCCCTGCAGCTGAGAACCCAGCCCTGCTTGGGGACCCTGTCTGGGCTCACAGGTATTTGCTGCAGTGTCTCTACTCCAGTATTGCATGGTAGAGGGGAGTAGAATATGCCACCCCACATATGCCCCTGGAATTAAAGGTACTTGAGAAACAGTCTGTGCAGAGACACCATGACCTCCTCGGTCCCCCTAAAAGCAGAAGATAAGTCTCCCCTGAGAAAGGCGTCCTCTCTGTACCAGGAGAAGAGAGACGTTCTTAGCACCAGAAATAGGAATTTAAGGCCCAGAAGACTGTACAAACACACCTTACTTTTTCACTAACTTAATTTTGTTAGTTTAAGTTTCTAGAACGGAAGTGCCACACGTAAAAAGCCACAGTGGAGGAGATGCATCTGCTTCTGGTTTGGATAAAATAACTCCTCACCAGAGCTTGATGTTGTGTGTAGAGGGTCCTTGTGGGTCTCCTTCAAGGTCAACAGTGCTGCTGGGGCCTGGGAGGATTCTGGTGACGGCAACAGTGTCCCATCCTCCAGCCTGTACTCAGGGCCATGCACAATTGGGCTACACACAAAGTACACCAGCATAGGGGGGTTTGCATCCCCCCCCAAACCTGGGCTGGGCACTGGGTTTGTGCCCATAAAGAGGAGGCCTGAACAGTGCAGGGACTCTGGGATTTGCTCATTGCTGCTGGGATAGTGTGGACACCAGCAGGTGTGAGCCTGGTTCTGGGCCTGAGGACAGGCAAGAGCAGTCATCCTATGAACATCCCTGGCCTGCAGCTAGGTGGAACAGGTGACCCCATACATGTGGGAGAGGCGACCCTGAGAACTGGAGGAGGAGGAGAAGCAATACCTTATGAATTATGAATTTATTACAGAAAAGTCATTTTTCTCTGTTGCACATTCTCTCTTTCTCTCCCACTCCTCTGACACTGTCTCTCACATATGAGATTTCAACACATATATTTGAGGATACATTCTCATAAGGTTATAAATGACCATGTTCATATTGTTTGCTTTTTTTAATCCACAGAGAACTCCTGATACAATTTATAGATATTTCCTGCTTTCATTGTATATTTTATCACTTCCGTATTTATCGCATCTTCTCTGGACATTTTTTGTTCTCTAATAGTAGCAAGTACTTCACGTAATTAACAATGTTGAGCTCCCCATTGACAGTTTACCCTGAGGTGATAGGATAAGCCAAAAGAAGGAGGTCACATTCCTGATTCTCTGAATACCCACAAATTCTTGGCAGCAGAGCTGATGGGCCGTCCTTGTCCTCATGGTAGACCACAGCCCCTCAGATGCGATCTGGACCTCATGTTCCAGCAGATTCTGGAAGCCAAGGATGCTGCCAATCCTGCACCCCACTCTGCACCTGCAACAGTATACAGATTTCTCACTGGGTGTCTTCTATTAAAGGAAAGAGAGGTAACTTCTGGAGCAAACTGTGAAGTTCACAATCCCCACCTAGTCCCTCCGAGTCGCAGGAGTTTACCATTGGGCTATATAATGCCCCTCTCCACACAGGACCAGCACACCAGCATATCAGGAGGGGATTAACACTGAGGGGATTCAGGACACAGATCAGTCTGGGGAGGTAAATGTAGGGATTGTAGGGGCAACAGTGAAACCAGCTCGAGGACAGGAACCCTACAGCTTCTACATCTAGCCCTTGGGCCATAGACTTTTTCCCTCTTTCCTTGTGTTCTTGGCCATTACTTCTCCCTACTCTTGGTCTATTGGTTTATTCGGGATTATCTATGAGGTCTCTGACAGAAACACAGATCCAGGAGAAAGTGCTGCCTGAGGTCCAAGGAGCAAGTGTCAGGAGGGGATGACCAGAAAATAGAGCCCCATGAATGGACAGAACAAGAACTGTCCCACTGATGAGTGGTCCTATGGAACTGAGGCGGCTCTCAGAGAGCTGACCAAGATGCTCCATTTACTGCCCATAAGCCCACGTACAGCTTCTCTGTCATCCTCCTCCTTCCCAGGAGGAATTCGGGTCTGGATGGTCGTTGGTGGGCTCATCCTGGGGCTGAAGGGGCCTGTGTAGTAGGGTCTCCATGTCTCACGTGGTGTGGGAAGGGAACTCCAGAACTTCCCTTCCCAACTCAGATTAATGTGTTCCTCCCTAGAACCATCTGTGCTCAGGGTGAGTAAAGGACCATGTGGGTTGGATTTGGGCTGTTATTATGATTGTTAATGTTGTTCTTGTTTCTATGGTGCCTGGCTATCAGGACAGCAGGGACCTCAGTGCAGAATATTGGCTCCATGACGTCATGAATTAATGGAAGAGATTTAGGAAAATGCAAGAGATGGTGAAAACAGGTAAGTCCTGGGTGAGGAGGACCAGAATGTAAGTAAATGAGGGCTGGGGTTGCATCTGTTGTCCAGATGTGGACAAGCAAGTGGGAGGTGACATTGTATGGTATCAGGAAAGGGGGACAAGGAGTCCTAGTTCCTGGGGGACCCCTGGGAGGAGAGTCTCTTTATAACGTAGGGGACCTCAGTATTCTCTCTGGAGACCCCTTCACTTTGCCCTAGGTCCTCTTGTTCCCAGGTGGGGAATGTCTCCAAGGGGTTGGACAGGGAACTGGACTCGGCCAGAACGGATGGTTCTATTGCAAGTAGAGCCAACCTCCGTCTGACCCAAGGGCTGCTTATACATTCAACAAACCCCAACCCCTAGTCCAGAGGCTCCACCCTGTTTTGGAATCTCTCTGCTCCACCATGTCTTCCATCCTCTCATGTTTAAAGTCTTGGGTGTGGGATAGAGGGACAAAGATAGTGGAGGAGTAGGGGGCCCTATTTGAACCAGTCCCCGGAATTGAGCTGGATATCCACCAGACCACTCTGAACACCCATGAAATCAGCCTGAGATGGAAGAAGATAGATCTCGATCTCTACAAACAGAATATGGCTGGCGGTTGTTTTTGAGGTATAAAACAGGGAGCTGCGATTCTGCAGGCAGATATCAGAAGATAAAAGGAAGGGGGGAGGGAGCCTCTGGAATCCTGCACATCTGGAATGAGAAAGCTTCCTGTGCTGGGGAGCAGGCACAGCTTCGCACACCAATAGCAGTGGGAAAAGGACATTAGGGCAGCCCCCTGGACTGAAACCTGGAGCCTCAGGGGCATGCGTGTTATCTGGGGGCAACTGGCGGTTTTTGGAGCACAAAGGGGAGAGACATACCTGGACCTGGAAGCAAGGGCTGGGAGTGCTGCTGTGGGACGCACAACCCAGGACGCTGCGGTTTTAGCAGCACAGACAGAAATGGAGACAGTGTGGCCTGGAGAGTTCACTGGAGAACAGCCTGCGGTCTCTCTGCTCTGAGGCAGAGGATTGGAAATGGTCACTTCTGCTCTGACTCTCGGAAGAGACGTGGAAAGCCGCTAGGGAAAGCCACCAGAGAACAAAAGCCCCCCAAAACCGGCTTTCACTGAGCCCATTCCCCCCACATGGGGCAGGGCAACTCTGCCCTAAAAGGGTTGCCTGAGTAACAGCATGGCAGGCCCCTCCCCCAGAAGACAGGCTGGGAGAATGAGAGGCCAACAACTCTAAGGTCCCTAGAAAACAGGTGCATCTTGCTTGGGTTGTGGTCAATAATTTGGACTCCGTACATTCCTTCAACCATCCCTCAACAGAATAAGAGGAGGAAGCCCCAAAATAGGAAAGACGCAAAGACTGTGACTTCTGCCACAGATTTACAAATGGATGTAGATATAAGCAAGATGTCAGAAATGGACTTCAGGGTAACAGTTATGAAGACAATAACTAGAATGGAGAAATTGATTAATGGCAACATAGAGTCTCTAAGGGCAGAAATGAAAGCTGAATTGGCAGAACTTAAAAATTCTTTCAATGAGATCCCATCTAATCTAGATAATCTAACAGCTAGGGTAAGTGAGGCAGAAGAACGAATTAGTGATCTAGAAGACAAACTGATAGAAAAGAAGGGGCATAGATATTTACAACTGTTAGAACTTCTTGTGAAGTTCTTTAAGAAGATATAGTGTCCTTTAAGAATGATATAGTGTCCCTTGACACTATATCCATGAAAACAGAATTAGAGAAATAAGTGACACCATGAAACGTTCCAAAGTCAGAATTATTGGAATCCCTGAGGGGGTGGAGAGAGAGAGAGGACTATATCAGATCAAATATATCAAAGATATATTTGAGCAAATCGTAGCTGAGAACTTCCCTAATCTGGGGAATGAAACAAGTATTCATGTCCTAGAGGCAGAGAGGACCCCTCCCAAGATCAAGGAGAACAGACCAATGCCCCAGCATGTAATCATAAAACTCACA